AATTTTCTCAATTGCAAAATTCATCTAGTCATACAATTTATTTGTTAAGTTTGTATGATAGTATTTGAATACAGTATTAATTTAGGACAATTTTTAATTTTAAGTTCTTTCATTAAAAAAAAATGAGAAGGGTTCAGAAGATACGAAGCTGTCAGTGAGGAATCTAAGAAAATATTCTTTCAATTTTTTTCAGCTAGAAGTTACCATTTTTTAAAAGTCCAAAGTATAATGCAAAAAAACCTTCTAAATACAACGATGCCTTTTTCACGAAAGGATGTTGATTTTTCACGTAAGGGAAATTTTTCTGAGGAACATTATACATGGTTCATTAGTGACGTTAAAAATGACACCTTGCTTGGGGGCGTAAAACTTTGAAGAGCTCATGCTTGATCCCGGTCTCACCTTTCTACGATTATTTCCTTTGGAAAAAGTGAGACTGAGATCAAAGTGAGCTCGTTCAAGTTTTATGGCCCCTCATGCCTTTTCTTTATTCCAGAGGGTCATTAAATATCTCATTAAACCAGCAACAGTACATTATGTCAAACAATATACATCTCGAATCACTATTCGGTACTTCATCGTAAATCTTGCATATATATGATATAAATGAAATGTATATTCTCTGCAAATTTTTTTCTTTTCCTGACTGGAATTGTTCATTTTAAACACTCATATGAAAAATTTTATTTAATGTTTTTATCGCCTATTTTGGTATAAAATGAAAGGTACATGTACCTGTATAAAGAGAACATACTTGGAAATAGAAGAATATCATTTGCTTTTGCAATAGTTTTATGTTTAAATTTCTTTTCTAATTAAAACTGCAATTCTTTGAATAATCAGATATATAATTAAATTACTCACCCATTGTATTTTTTTTTCAAAGACTTCTTTCTTCTTCCGAAAAGAATTTGTTGATATTTTTCCCACCATAGATGATCAGAAAGAGAGAGAGAGGAAGAGAGAAAGAAAGAGAGAGATATAAAGAGAGATTAAATGTACTCACCACTAGCTGACGATTGAATAAAAAACCAGACTAACACTGTCCAGGAATATGTTATCCACATTGTCCTCTTTACCATGCTTTCAAAGCCCTTTTCATTTTCTCAAAGTGCAGTGGTAGAGGTTTTACGACAATTTAGAAAATGTCGATTAAGTACCTCCCAAGAAATCAATGGATCATTATACCTTAGGTATATTACAAATGGAGTAATTCTACGGGTCTCTTTTAGAACAGTTTCTTGCACAGTTTGCTCTCATTCCGTTTTTCTTATGAATTTTTAATAAAATGCAATCAATTATGGATATAATTGTTTTGTTTTGAATTTCTTTTCAATGATTTCGATCGTATTATGTATATGATAATAAAAGTTTTATATAAATTCCTTTTATAATGTTCCAGCACTGACACAAAATAATTTATGATATTCATTGTCATTTGTAAAAAGTCGCATGAAGTTGTACCCATGAAATGTCACAAAATGAACTGGCATTATGCCAAAGGGTTCCAAATAAAGATTGTTCCATTATCAATCTTGAATTCGATATAATTTTAGTATAAATGACTTGAAAACCCTTCAAGTAGGAGAAATATTAGATAAACAGGGGAAATTTAAGTTGATGTGTTGAAAAACCACAAGATCAGTCACTTTGCCACAAGTTATACACGTAGAATGCGTGAAATTTCAGATCAATTTATCACCACACTGCACAAAAACCTAAATGCTATCTAAATTTCAGTGTACTTCATACACCAACACCCCTTGTATAATGACATTCTTATTTATAATTACGATAATAACAAGCAGAAGGGTAAAAACAATACTGTACTAAACTTTCCCCTCTGTGCAGTTGGTCGATTACTGATTCACAACAATTTCTAAAGCCATCTACATTTATGTGTAATAAAATGCAAGCCATGTTTCAGCATTTCTACGATTAAAGTACCGATTAATAGTATGAGACATGAAAATATAATTGCTTCAGATAGCATATTATTATTTAAAAAAACAAAATTATCTTGAGGACATTTAATTGTACTTACAGAAGAAGGACTGTCATCATATCATGTTCCGGTATTTATTATAACAATTTCGATGTACCCACGGTCATAAGGTTATGTCATGGAAGTTTGTTTGTCTGTTTCTTTTCTTCGTTTGTTTGTTTGTTTTTTGAGTTGTTGCAGTTTTTTTTTAATTTACTATTGAGTGATATTCAGCATTGGTTATCTTTTAAAAAGAAATAATTTAATACATGTATATCCTTTCTAAAATGTAACAAAAATAATCAGATTGAGTAAAATACTAGGTTTGTTCATTGTTGGAAAAAAGAATATTTTGTACATTTAAATAATTTTTTTACATGAAATGATATTAAAACTTACGATTTTTTTACGAATTAAGTAAGGATAACGAATATCGATCGATTTAAAAAAAACTTTTATTTTTCAAAAAGAACATAAAATATGGACCTCTGGAAATATAATCTTCTTTGTTGACCCGTTTGTAACGTTCCACATCTGCCGTGAACCCTATATAAATGATCAAGTAGATGGATAAATCCGACCTTATCAAATTACCATCCAGTGTAAGGTTGCATTTGCTAACAAGGTCATTAAAACAACCACAGAATTCACGTCATGCTGATTTTCAACGAGGTTATTGAAATCCTCATAACATCAACTTAATTCCTATCTGTTTTAATTAAAAATTGATCGTATTTACGCATGACCTTATGTAGCGAATTAGTTTGGAAATATAAACAACATATGGCGGTGAAATGGGAGTACTAGTATTTAATTTACTGCACAGAGGAGGAATTTCATCGGTGGAAAATCTAAGATCTTTTCCTTTGTCATACATTTTAATACAATTATCGTCTACGGTTCGTAAAGCATTAAAATATTAAACATATATGACAAACTCTGGTTTTCCTTTGTTACGAGTTCACTAAGATGAATTTAAAGTCGTCATATGAATGAATTAAGTACGTATTGATAATACGTTGACAAATTATCTGAATATCCGGTTGATTACCTATTTCGCATATAGAATTCAAAACTTTTGCTTATAAGTTCTGGTTCACAAAAGAATTTACCTTATTTCAGAATGCATGCATCTAATGATACATAAAATAGTGTTTTCGGGACCTTGAACCTCAACGGATCATGATTTTCAAAAACCTATATTTCCATACAGTTGAAACGCTTTGTTTTAAGTTATTTTTTTCTGAAAGTGGTCCTTATGTACTTACAAAGGCATTAAGAGGGCTGGGTAATTGTGGCCATTTTCAGATTATATTGATCACCTTTAGTAGAAGTGCTCCATATAAAGATATATAACAAGATGCCCATGGGCCACATCGCTCACCTGAGCTCTGTGGCTATGAAAAAGTAGAAATTGGTTCATTATTAAAAAGTTTGAATCCAAAAGTAGTCCCATGACCAATCATGGCTTTGCTATTCTTGAGAAGAAGATTTTTAAAGATTGTTTCTATATATTTCTATTTAAAACTTAGGTCGACCATTTTGGCCCCGCCCTACCCTTGGGGGTCATGATTTGAACAAACATGAATCTACACTACCTGAGGATGCTTCTTTATGAGTTTTATCTTCCCTGGCAAAGTGGTTTTCGAGAAGATTTTTAAAGAATTTTCCTGTATATTTCTATATAAAACTTTGGTCGGCCATTTTGGCCCCGCCCCTACCCCGGGGGGGGGGGGGCATGATTTTTACAAAATTGAATCTATACTACTTGAGGATGCTTCCATAAAAATATGATCAATTATAGCTCTGCAATTTTTGAGAAGATTTTTAAAGAATTTTCCTATATATTTCTTGGTCAAACTTTGGTCGGCCATTGTGGCGCCGCCCTACCCCCGGGGGTCATGATTTTAACAAATTTAAATTTACACTACCTGAGGATGTTTTCCCATAAGTGTCATCTTTTCTGGCACAGTGGTTCTTGAGAAGATTTTTAAAACATGCCACCAAATTTTTATTAATTCCAAATTATCTCCCCTTGAATGAGGGCGTGGCCCTTCATTTGAACAAACTTGAATTCCTTTCACCCAAGGATGCTTTGTAGCAAGTTTGGTTGAAATTGGCCCAGCGGTTCTCGAGAAGAAGTCGAAAATGTGAAAAGTTTACAGACAGACAGACGGACGGACGGACGGACTACAGACAAAATGTGATCAGAAAAGCTCACTTGAGCCTTCGGCTCAGGTGAGCTAAAAATGACACAATTTTAAAATAAAATGGTATGGAATTTTTTATCGCCAAATAATAATTAATAGCTGAAGATATCATGATATCTAAAATATTAAGTCAAATTTGTTGACATCCCAGCTTCCTTAATTCACCGCATTCATAATTTTGGAGAAATACAACAGGATATATGTTTGGCCCAAAAACCCTGGTGGCCATGATTCAACAGAATTGAAGAAAATTTCTTTTAGAAACTATAATTCAGTGAAACTTCTTCTTCGGCAGTTTATGTGGTGGTAAACAATGAACCTTGTTGACCTTTACAATCATGAAAATATATCCATTATCTCAACTATGACAGAACTGTTTGTTGTTTTTTTTAATTTTATTTTTATTTATTTATTTATATATTTATTTTTGACGATGATGATGTGATTTCAAATTACTTCAAAATCGCTTAAAGATATTAGAAAACCCTTTCATGACTGATTATATTTTTGAACTATGTGTAATACGAATTGAAAATAACTGTCTTATGCAGACTGTGAACGTCTTCCATAAATTATATATTCTTTAATCGGTAGATCAAAGCAATGATGCCAATCTAAGAGACATGTAATTAGTATCTACATGTATGAGTAACCACAGCATGTTACAAGTGTACCTAACGTGTTGAAAATAAAGACAAGCTTAAGATCTCTTTTTTCATTTATAAATAAAAGATTTATCTGTAGTACAATCAATATAATATCAATCCTCAATAAATTATTCAATACATATTTGTTTAAAAGTCTGCTGTAGAAGATTAGGCAATGAAAGATTAAACTCACAAAAAATCTGTGGATGAAAGGTTTTTATAGATTTCTGAATTTTAAACAGAAATGTTTTGATATAGAAATTAGGACAAATAAGATAACTAAATTAAATGTATTCCAAAACACTAAGATTGGATGAACAAAAGTAGGCTACGGACAGAATGATAGCTAAAGGGCCTGCAGTGTGGAGATTAAATAAAATTCCGATAACATCTCATTTAACTATACAACATCTATTTTTAAGAAAACGTGCAAAAAATAAACTACAATATTTTTGGATTTTTTAATAATATTTGGGATGCAGAATTTAAATTTGTTAAGGGATTTTATCCATTTTTATTAATCTAGCTCAAAAAAATCAAACATATCTAATAAGAAAATGTTAGTGTACATGCTATTGATTAATGTTTTCAACAAATGAGCAACAAAATGAAAAAAAAAAGCTTAATGATGACTTGTTGGAGAAAACGTTGTTTAAATTCGTTCAAACAATCATATACATGTAATTGATGTTGTCAATTTCTTCGAAGTAGAAAAAAAATAAATGTTGACATTAAATCTTAAAAAACTATCTATAATAAAAAAAGTTTACAAAGTAACAATTCACTTAGACACTGCCTATGCGTCCTGTGAAGTTTTGCAACTGCATGAATTAACTTTCACTGCAAAAATGAAGAATACAAAGACAAATGTACAAGCTTATACACTCAAAAGAACAAATAATCGTTTCTTTCTCTTCAGAGTTCGATTTCTTTTTTCTGTATCGCAGACTGGTATTGACATGTCCACATCTGACGCCAGGAAATACGACATTCTCGATTCAAAATTTGGACGAGAAGTGTCTCGCGGGGTCGCCCTTTTCGTCTGCAATTTTCTTTCGATTACATTTGTCCGCATCGTTGCTCTGCTTTTTTATTTCCAAAGAGGTGGTCGGACTGGTAGGTATCAACAAAGACCGTCGACCTTCTTCGGCGTAGTATTTTCTGTCTACAGACTGTTAATGTTACGAAGTTCTTATTGTGTTATCATTGAAATCAACTATGTTCTCGTATTCTCATTATACATTATAATAAATAAGTAATTAGACAGTATTTTTAATAAATGGATGTATACCTTAGCTTCCTTAGTTCCATATGCATTAACGATGTCACGAACAAGTCCCGTCACAATTGCAGCATTTATATCCTCACCGATTTGCTTTTGGTCTTTCCCTTTTAAAACAAATGAATATATTATCATTGCTCTCTATTGTTTAAAATACTTTCGTATTATATTTCATGATGGATTTCTCGTGTAAATTAGTTTATATCATATCCCAGTAATGCAGACTTCCATTGACAAATTATTAAAACCATGAACTTAGTTAGAAACTTAGCACGAATACAATAATGGGGTTTTTTTTGCTTTAAATGTCAAAAATGAATTTAATACGTATATTGTTCACGCATATTCTTGTTTAAAATATAAGGAGAACGTACGCATTTCTGTGCTCTTTTTTCGTTTGAAGAAAATGTGAAAGGTATTTCTGACAAATTTCTTGACGATGTCTAACATTCCTATTTTTGTAGCTGATGAAACACTTTCTGCTCTCACTGCCGAAATACTGGTGTTCAGGATTGCCATAAAGATAGTCAACATGAACATAATAATACACAATACGTAACCTACGTAAAAGAATTGAGCTGATAATGGTGCTGCCATAATCAGAGGGTCTACCTTATTTTTACCGATTAAAGTATTGGCTAAACTAGCACATGTATTATACATAGATCTATAGCTTTCCAATTTTGAGCCGAAAAGAAGATAGGCATAAATGACAAATGAAACAAACAAAATCAACAGAAGTGCACCAAAGGCCAATAAATCCTTTCCAACATTTGATATTACCGATATGACCTCAGTAAATCTTTTATTGTATCCTAGAATTCTCAGGACCTGTATTGTTGATATAAACAGAAGAGTCGCAAAAAGGACGTTGAATGCGTGATCCCAAAGCACAATATGTCCATAGTCAATGAAGCGATTGGCGCCAGTCAATTTGTCGTCATAAAACATATCCATTGCCGTATTCGTGTATTTCATCCTCAATATAAACGTTAATAGAGAAGAATATGCGAGAATGGTACACAAACAGTCCACACAATTCCATGGTTGTTTGACAAAAGCTAAACAGCCTACCTTCCTACATTGCAAAAGTATTTTAAAGAGCAGGATGATATAATAAAAGAAAACAATCAGGTAGAAAAGGACAAGAGTGAACCCCAAAGATGATAAACTTAAGATCGGCTTGAAGGCCTGTGTATCAGTCCATATAAAGGAACTTCCTACTTCAGGAAACTCCACTAAGTACACAACATATGCAAAAAGGTTGACATTTGAATTGTATATTGTAAACTCAACAAAAATTGCACGTGTGTTTCGATCAATCCAGTTATTTTCTAAAAGTTCATTGATCAATAAGTGGGCATTCGTTCTGTCCTTCACAAACTGCAGAATA